AAAGCAGGCTAGGACCTTGTTACCAAAAAGACCTCAACCTTTTGCCTACATATATTACCACATGTAGGTCATTATGCAGGTGAAAGAGACTGCTGCTACTTCAAAATACTCTTATTTGCAGAAATGTTCCACTAACTTTATTCAAAACATCTAAGAAAGTAATCAAAACAAGTCCCTATCCTACTATTCCCAGGTAAGGACAGTGTTGGTGACATCCTGGAACTCAGGAACTCTGCATTATTCTTCCAGTTCAAGATTTGCTTATCACCCTGGACAGGTTCAGCAAAGAGTTTACATGCACTTTTGAATTTATGCTCTTGAAAAAAAAAAAAAAAGCAAGTCTGTCCTTAAAGCATCAGTGAAATGTAATCAAGCACAGCAGCACAGTCTCAACATCCCCAAAATCATTCTCCGTTCACATTTCACCAAGGTGAAAGTTATTACCTGCTTCACATGAGATTTACTTAAGGTTTTAAAGCAAGCAGATAAGAGAAAGACTATTCACTTATTTAAACAGTGCTACATTTGTCAGCATTTGGAGGCCAAGAACTTTTCCTAGAACATACTCCATCACCTCCTCCCTTTTAGAATATATAGGATGAACATCAAATAAATGCCTCCCAGAGATGCCTGCTTCACTGGCTCTAGAAATGAACCACCTTCAGCTAAGCACCAAGCCTTCAGAGTGTTCAAGGGATGGGAAATGAATCCCAAGGACCATTTAGCTATCCTCACATCTTTAGTTCTGAAATTTCAGCCTTAATCCTCCTCTGCGTAACTCCACCAACTGGTCCTTTAGACCTTGTTCAGCACCTCTGGAGAACAACAGCAAAGGGCTAAACTAAAGAAGGAACTGCTTTGCTTCCACGTTTAGTGACAGAGACCCCATCATGCTGTCTGTACAGAAAAGGGCCTTAAGCCTGCTCCCTGGCAAACTGATTCTCTATTTAGTTTCCACAGTATAATTTTCAAAAACATCCATGTGAAAATGCAAGCACGTGCACCAAGGATTATTTTGACACATGGTATCCATCATTTGGATTTACTAATTTTCCAAAATAAACTGTTTTGTCAGATTCCCTGTGCATGTGGATGTTTGAGTAAAGGCAATGTGTAACATTACAAGACACATTCATGCACTGACCTTTCACAAAAACGAAACTGTTAGTAAAGCTAGGGTGGTGGGAAGCACTCAATTTTCATTTTAGTCACCAGACTAAAGCACCCAGATTTGCAAAGAGAAGCAGGTACTAGCTTATGGCCTAATTCTGCTCTGACACATGGCTGATCTGAGTGAGGATGCAGCACTAACAACGTCACTTGCACAACAAAATGTTTATATAAGTAGACTCATTCAGAAAATGTATCTGCATGTGACATGTACAAGGTAAGATGTCACAAGCCATGTGACAGGCCTATGCAAGCAACTAACTCACTACAGCTTATTTCTAGATCTAATTGCAGAGGCTCTGTGTTCCGTTTTTTTGTCACAGGTATTGCCACAGAACACACTCACAGAGCCCAGTTTGTGTATTCTTTCCCATAATCAGAGTTTAAACCCTACTTTTACACAAATATCCCCTATTACTTGCCATTCCCAGGGTATTTACACTCCTTCAGGTTATTGACAGACTGAATTCTTCCTTACTTGACAAGACATTTTTAAAAAATATTTTGTATTTCCACTTAAACACTACACTGGGTTTGAATGTATTTAGAAACCAAAATTCCAGCCTTTATATATAACCAGCCAGTGGCTATGGGACTCCATGAAACAGCCATGGGAAGAGGAGTTACCAATGCAAGTCACTAAAAGCTGCAGCATGCTCCCCTACCCGGCTGGAAAACAACAATTCCTCACTTCACTTGAGTCTCCCTTCTGGAAAGCGTTTATACCACTGCACGCTTTCTTCAAGTGAATTTGCATGAGATCTGTTTATATGCATTCTACTTTGATCAAACCATGGCTCACATTCTTACACAAATGCTTTTGCAGCACTCATGCATGCTGTCTCATTTGAAAGAGCTCACAGTAACACAGGTTTTTAAGCTGAACAATCTAAATTTTAAATGCTGTGAGTTAAAACTAACTTTTCTTCAGTTCAGACTGGTCTTCTAGGGGGTTAGAAGATGACACAGTCAGATGCTCTATCTTTCTTTCCATCTGTCATTAAATTTTGAACCCATTCACTCGTTTCAACTAAAAGCAATGAAGGCAAAACAGCTATAACACTGAGATTGTTTTGTTACGCCAGCCTTGTTCCTTCTTTCACTTCCACCAAAGGCAGGAATAGAAGAAGCAACAGCAGTCACCATCTTCAAAGCACCAGAGAACAGCAGATCTGTTTCATCAGGTCTCTGTTCCCCAAATCAACCTTAACTTCCCACTTCTCGCTCAGATACGGCCCAGGTCCTGTCCCCCTCACGGCAGTGAAATCTAGTTTTGCCTGCAACGCTGAGAAGTCTTTAACTGGCAGTGAGTAACCCTGGTACCTCTCCATGAATTATATTAGCACAGTAAAAATTCCTGCTTTGTGGACTTTTAACTTCCGTTTTCCTACAGCTTCAGTGTTCAGAACAGCCAAAACGCTCTGAGGGTCTGAAAACATCTCCTTTGTCTCAGCACCTGGGTACCCAACGCCAGGTAACAACACTGGAACTGTCAGGAATCATCAGCAATTTAAGTCCATGTTTACAAAGTACTTTTGAAAACACGGTTACCGACAAAGCAGTAACACTGAGCAACTTTTCACTAAGAATCTTTCACAAAACTAAGTGAAACCCTTACACAGTCCTTGTGGTGTAGGCTGGAGCTGCATGAATTTAGGAACTGCAGTGGCTGCGCACGCCATTACTACTGGAGATCTTCTAGTCCCATACCTTACTGCAGCTTCCAACTCAAATTCTTTTGTAAGGTGTAAAGGAAGACCTCTCCTCCCTGTCTCCCTCCCCTCACTCCCCCACCCTGTATAAAAATGCACATATTCTAAAATCCTAGACCAAAAAAAAAAAAGGGGCAAATAATCAATTTATCTTCTTACACATATCTGTACATAGAAATAATGAAACAACCCTTAAACTGTGTAAGCAGTCATTGCAGCAGAAGGAATTTAATTCTGGAAGGACACAGAACTTCCCACCCACACAGCCCCAGAGTGTGCCCGTCAAGGACATCTGACTTTGTACCTATTGTATTACATGACTCAGTCATGGGGGTTAGTGTTTTCAGTTTCCAGTTTCTGGCAAGATCCCCAAAGTAATTTTCAATTAAAAGGTTAAATGCTGGCACTTGTCAAATGTGAAGACATACAGTATTGTAACAATGTGAAATAGCTTCCTTACAATTAAATAATTTCATCAGGTATTTAAGTAGGGGTTGCAAATATTATGCCTTTGGGTAACTTGAAGAAATACCTAAATGAAGTGCAATCGTTTTCTGTCACTACTGTGTCTCAAGTGGAATACAAGCTTGGCCTTCAAATCCTTTCAACAGAATGATTCAAACACATGTAGGTCCAACAAACATTTGAATATCTTTGTTTACATTAACAGCCTGTTTTTGTTAAATTAGCCATGTTAAAAAAAAAGGTTTAGTTTCCAGTGCTAGTCTGTTTTTTTCTCCCCAAACATGTAACCTAGCCATAAATGAAGAAATAGTGATACTTCCAGATAATCACACAAAGAATCAAGGACTCTGACTAAAAAGAGACAGTACTGAAAAAATTAACCCACCCCCAGGTTAACCTTCCTCTAATCAAACTATTAAGTGGTAGAATTATTTCTCTTTTATAGGTTCACAGAAAAAGGCTTGGGAAATAGAACACACCTGAAATAAGGAAAACACCATAAATTATAGATAACTTCTGGGAATTGAAGGTTCACTCTTATGAGCAAACTCAAGACCAAGACTTTCATAATGTTCAAGACATATATGACTGGGCCTCTAATTATTATATCGAATTTGATTGAGGAGTAAGAATTATGAAAATACACGCAAGTATATTTAGCCAGAATTCTGAAGCAGTCTGAGCCTGCGGCTAAGGCTCTGGCCTGGATTCAGAGGATGAACTAACAAGACTTTCATAAGTTTCCCGGGTTCTAATACTCTTGCAAGCACTTAACTTCTGAGTGCTTGCGCGTCCTCAGGTGTAATTTGAAATTTGAATTCTAATTTGAAATAGACTTCTGTCAATGAAAACATTTCATAGTTATTTTTAATTCAATTACTTTTCAAATCTTTTAAGTAAAATAATATTCTTAAATGCTGCTCCTGTTACATTAGGAGGTGAACGCAAAGATCCTATGCCTGGATCATTGTTTGAAGTGTTGCAGGATTTTAAAAAAGTGTGTGATTAAAGCTTTGACTCAGCAAAGTCCTACAAATTAACTCACTGAATTTAAAATTGAGCATATACACAGTTTATGTGTTTCAACACAGAAGTTCAGCTTGGCTGCAAGAAACATACTGCATATAGAAACAAAGCAAGAATGAGCCTTAATTTTCCTGTGCAGATGTAGGTGACAACCCCCCCTCTCCTAGCCTTGTAACATGTCCTCCATTCATCAGCTGGTGTGTTTATTTTTGCTGTATGTGATGTGACTAGCAGAACTTAGGCAATGAAAACTTTTTAATCAAGTGAAGATCTTTTGAAGAAAAAAGAGGACCTGCTCCACTTCTTAGAATGCAAGGTCAAGAGTTATATATACACATTTAGAGCCTGATTTCATTTAGTTAAGTTTTCAACTAAGAAAAGGAAACATTTCTTCATGCAACCTGTGAAACCCACTGCCACATAGAGTTACTGAAATAAATAATGCTTTGGCAGTAACAGAAACAGAACTAGATATTGCCATTAATAATTTATGTACTTATGCAATGATAACTGTATCTGATCACACAGCCCACATGAGTAAATCAGGGAGAAGTTACTTCCATCTGATGCAGAGCACTACTCTTACCCCAGACACAGCATTGCAGAAATGTGCTTTTATGCACTCACCTACCATCAGAATATAAAGGTTTTCAACCAGTAGAGAGAAGAGCAGTCCTGTATTTCCGTATCTAGAACACAGAAACAGAAATTAGTCTCTTACATCAGTTGTCCCTCCAGCCTCACCCTGTAAGATAGGAGTGCAGTAAAGACTAACAAAACTTGGAGTGAAACATACATTTCTGTGGAGCAAGAGAGGTGGAAAGGTAGCAGAGCCCTTTAGTTCTTTGAAGGATTGACTCAGCTCACCTCAATTTTATCAACTTCAGTGAAGGGCATTATCTTACACTTATTGCAGAACAAAGACACAAAACTGAACACAATCTTACCTCTGTTAAACATTATCCCAGAGACAGGCCTTGTCAAAACCTCTGAGCTCTTTCTTTGTACTCCTGGGAAATGCCCTGGGCAACCATGAGATATATGGTCTTGATTTTCAAGTGCTAGCAGAATTTTTTAGTGATGGAAATGAGAAATTACTTATTCCTACACTGCAAGGAATAAATAGGAAAATAGGGAGAAAAGAGAAAACTCCATATTTGTTCCTGATTTGTTATTTATTTTCCTTATTTCCCTTCATTCTTTCTCTACAGAGGCAGAATATGCTCATTTCCTTTCCAATTTCCAGGCGTGGTAAGAGAAATAGAGTCCATTTACAGGAGGCTTAAAAGACAAACAAGTCATGGGAGAATGGAGGAATGAAGCATACCTCAGCAGAGGAGACAATACCTGAAACTTAAAGGAGACAGGGCAGTGAAGGTGCCCGCATGACTTCACTGCTGCAAGGCACAGGTGTAGACCAAACACTGCACTGTCTTTAAAATGATGAAAGGAAACAAGACAAAACTATAGGTAGCCTTTTCCATTCTGCCTCTATTACTTCCTAGGTATGTCCAAGACTACTTTTTCCTTTTTTTTTAAGCAAAACCAAAAATCATAGCTATTTCTTTCTCCCTTCCAGTGGAACAGTAAGCCTGCTTTGTCCATGGCCCCTGCTACACAGCCACAGTCCCTCTGCTTCCTTCCAGCCCCAAAGTTCCTTCCAGGATAACGACCCCGTGCTAGCCACGGGCAGCAGCTTCAGCACTTGCCTGCTGAGGGCACTCTCTATGCCGCTGCAATAAATTTGGCAACTGGAGGTGGATTATAATGTCATCTAAACAGAAAGTTATCTGCATTCCTCACAGACTGCCAGGAAGTTACCTGAAAGCACAGTTAAATCTGCAGTGACACATACACCTCGAATGTCTGTCGTTCCATGGTAACTACTTCTGTGTGTGCTCTTACAGACCACTGACTGTCATGAGTTAGCCTGGCCTTCTCTCCTCGACCTGTAACTGCACCAGCAAGTTCCTCTTACGGCAGGAGAGCAGTGACAAAGGCAGTTAACAGAGCACACTATACACACTGTGGTTTGATTTGTACGTCAATAAAAACTTATTTCTGTACCTGCCTGTCCTTATGCAATGTGAAGTACACCAGCAGCTGCCAAACAAGATAAAGCTATGTTTCCTTATATTGTTATGTCAGACCATTCCAAAATAAGAGAGAACACCACTGGTGTCAGGAGAGAAAGCTGGGGAAAGAAGGAACCAAGTAAACATGAGAGAATGAGAGAAAGCGGAAAATATGAACTATTAAAATCTGTAGACATCAGGAGTTTGGGTCTGATGAGAGAGAGAGGGAGAGAGTGGGAGAGAAAGGGAAGATGAAGCTTGGGAAAGATAGAGTAGTTTAGCAACAATATTTGACAAGACCAAAAATGAGATTTAAAAAAAGAAAGACTCAAGTAAGGATATTTTGGGGGCTTAGTAAGGTAACTCTTCCAGAACACTATGGGTTAGATTTAGAGCTTTTGGATTAAAATAGTTTTATGGGAGTTAAGAGCAGAGTCAGCTTTTTAGCTCAGAAGGAAATTTCCACTCAGGAAATTCATAATCACAGCCTTCAGTACCAATCAAGAGGAGAAGATGGGATTGTTTTAATTTTTTTTTAAAATTGCATTGGAAGTCAGTAGAAGGAAGGGCTGATTACTCCACACAGGTATAAACTGTGAGGTGCATCAGCCATCACAGCACTACGGCCACGCTTGGTTCTAAGCCACCAAAAAAGAAACCACAGTTAATGACGAGGTCGCATTCAAACCTGCTGAATTCTTTATGGCCTTTCCATGTCATAGGACTACAGCACTAGAAAAGCATTTTTATAAGCTAGTCTGCAACTGCTTTATCAAGCCATTCAAAATAATCTAGCTATTTCCACGTTTCATACAGATGGCTACAGCTTTCTCATTAAGATGCAATCAACTTACAGTAATTTAAAAATAGATTTTAAAGTTATAGCCAGATTTATCAAACTCTCACTCTGTTTTCACATGTATAGATTTCCCTCACTTGTTTTGCCAGGTTCAGATAGTTTAGTTCCATACCCAGTCAAACTTGATTCCTTCTGGGAAGCCTAAATAACTGTATATTTAGCTCTCTGGTTTATTTTCTCAACAGCTGTGCTACTTACTTTTAATTCTTCTACTGCAATGTCCATTTTCTAGAGTACTGAAAATCAGTGAATTGACCGTTACCTTTAAGCACAAAAGGTAAGAAAAGTTAAGCCCAACAGACGATGAAATATGGCCTTAGGGAAACCAGCAATGTCAGATTTTAACCCAGCATCAGAAATTAGATGGGTTCTGGTGTCTCCATCTTGAAAAAGAAACAGTAGAATTAGAGAATAGAGAGTGCACAGCTAAAGTAATCAATGGTTTGCAGCTGCTGACTTACAAGGAGAGATCAAAAAGTCTAGGATTTATCAATCTGGAGAGACTGATAAAGGGGGAATACAATCAGGATGCCCAAAATTATGATGGAAGTGTGAAAAATGAATGTAGAAAATCCTGCAACTTTGGGGCTGTTAGGAGGCACTGAATGAACGTGTAATACAAACCAGATGAAGTACTTTTCACAGTGGGCAGTACGCTTCCTGCTCCTGCTGCCACAGGAGATGGCAAGGACAAAGTGTACTAGCAGGTTCAGAAAGGGATGACACAAATTCATGGAAAACAGGTCCATAAGTGGATAATATACAGTGCTTATTGGTGAGCTGTGCACACTGATATCCCTGCGTAACAACTGCAGGTGCTGGCGACTCCAAGGAGCAGGGACCCCAGCAAGGGGCTAGGCTGATGTGCAGTCCCTACAGAGGGTCTCCTGTTGGCACTGTCGGAGCCAGAGCCCTCCTTGGATCCAGTAGGACAGTTCTTATCTTCTTACTTAGATGACCTTAAGAAAACAGTCACCTTATTTAACCATTCACTAAGGAAATGCTGCCTGACCTACACTAGAAGCTTCAAGACATCTGCACACAGGTGAGATTATCTGTGAAATATGCAGCCAAATTAGGATTCTAGAGGAGCTGTGTGGATATGTCAGAACACATTAACCTGCATTGTATATAGACTAGGAATGCGTAAATCAAAGAATGGTATTCTGTATTTAATTTGGAAGATCTGATCAACAGTGTTGCTCATATTTATTGGGAGTACAGTGCACTGGTGTGTATATATATACACATATATATATGCCTACATATATATATGAAGAGTCTTTTACAATTCATTACTTGTCCCAATGCAGAAGTCATAAAAAATAAAAGCTTCCCATGGAAAATCATTACTGTGTCAAACCAGTATGCAAACTTTGAGACTGTGGGTTCTACAAGTTGCTTTTTTTGAGACATAACAGTGAGAAAAACATCACCATCCTTCCTGTGAGTAATGAGCATAGCAAGTTCCTTGAACAAAAGCCCTTCTTTCAAGAAACGTTTTCCTAAAACCACAAGAAGCATACAAATATATCTAAAGTAATGCATCTTAAATTTTTCAGGATATATTACAAACACAGCTGCACAAATGTTAGCTTATGAAAAAAAGAATTTTAGCCAATTAGCACGCGAATCATCATTTAAAAGCCCCTTTGGTGTCATTTTTTGTTTCAGTTAAAAGAACTTAAATTTCAGTTGCAACTATTCTGGGATATTTATTTTATGGTATCCACTTTCCAAAAGTTTGAATCTACTTTACTTTCATTGAAAAAGATGTTCCTAAAATGAAACATCTGGCTAAAAGAACAGGGTGAGTTTTGGCATTGCCAGGCTTTAAAAATCTTACATATATGAACCTATGCTGACATGTACATCAAAAAGAAAAAAAGTAAGGAGAAAAGCTGTCATGGCTTAGTCCTGCCAGAAGGACAATTGTTTTTCTTCTAAAATAGAAGTATTACAGCAGCTTTTAGAGGATTTCAACAGAACAACTGATCTTGACCAGGGAACATAAAAACTGATTGATGTCTATATAAATTTCCAGTGTATTTATTTTCATACACTGCTGCATTTTATTGTTATGAATGGGAAATACTCATGAAAGATTCGTCTTTGAATACCATGTCATTCTGATTAGACCACGAACATGCTGACAACTTTATCAACAAGATTTTGACTGTGTACAAGTTAAGAGAGTCCTTTTAGGAAGAAGACAATTATTCAGGTTTCCTACTTTTCTTCCTTGGGTGCTCAGAGATGGAAGCAAGCAAGAAGGGACTTTAGCAAGGTATTTTTGAGCAAGTTATAAACACCAGTTAAATTGGGAATGTGAAATATTTTCTTTACTGGGAAGTAAAAGTGCCTGGTCCATCTAAATGCATTATGTGGAATAAGTATGTCATTTGTACTATAGATTGGTGAAAAATGAATGTTATAAAAATAAATTATAACAGAGCATGTGAAAATATGGAAATCCATCAAATGTGGAATAAATGTTGGCACTGTGGAGCAGCTTCTAGCTCTGTACACCGATTTGCTAGTCTTTCAGAGGGGCAATGACAGTTGACCTTTACTGCAGCTTTAATGCTTTCACTTCCAAAACCATAAGGATCTGTTAGATTTTGTGGCCTTCTAGAAAGGATACTTCTCCCTACAGCATCAAGCTTTGATCTACTACAGTAAAAATATCTCAAAGCATTACCGATTCTCAAGTTTAACCACTGAATCAAAAAGAAAGTCTCATGCAAACTCACAC